AAAAAAAAAAAAAAAAAAAAAAAAAAAAAAAATGCAGTACCTATTTAGATAGAAATATTGTAGAGAGAAATGGGAGGATAAGAACAGCTTTGCCAGTTTCTACTACAAATGGGAAAAGAATGCCAAAGAGGAAATCCCACCATAAAGTAAACATACTGCCCAGTCCTGGAACCTCTGAAGCCTGGGGGTGGGTTGTGGTTGTGTCCTCGACTGTCTTCACCAGATTGCTGGTTAGGCATTTTGGCTACAGTGTGATAACCACGAGACCGAAACCCAAGCCCCAGTTCTAGTTGTAAAGTCACCCCAATGCCCACAAGTGATGTGACAGTATTACAGTTCTGTAATAGGGGAGTTTCACATTTTTCCTGTCCTAATTCAAAGTCTAGAACATCTCCAGGGTCAGAACAAATAGGAGTACTTGGACTGCAACCAAGTAATCACTGCAAAGCAGTTCTGGCAGCAAGAAATTACATACATCCAGATTCTCATGGAGACTACTGTAGGGTAGAGCCACCAGGACTATATAAATAACGTTCCTTCGATTTTTTTTTTTTTTAAATTAAAGAATTCCAGTGTTTCAAAAACTTGTGAAAATGTGTTTTTTTTAAAAAGGGCAAGTAGCTGGGCGTGGTGGCACACGCCTATAATCCCAGCACTTGGGAGGCTGAGGCAGGAGGATTGCTCTGAGACCAGCCTGGGCTACATAGTGAGACCCTGTCTCAAAAAAAGAGCGGGGGAGGGGGGAGAATGACCTTTTGCCCACTTCATCTTACTTGTACCTTCTGACAGCCAGATAGCACAGTAGCCTATTTTCACAGGCTCTGTTATCTTTGTCTAACTGCACCTCTGTAGAAGACAACAGCACAGGGAAGGGAGATAGTGAGAAGAGGATGCAAATGAAAAGCAAACTAGAAAGCATGGTGCTATTAAGACAAGATGAAATAAGGGGAGGAAACCGTGAGAAACCTGGCTGAGTATGCTTTGGTCTGGGGGACAAAAGGCTGGGCATTCAAAGTACAATCACATTGGTAATAAATGATCATCCCTTTCTTCTGACTCCTCCCCCAGCTGATCATCTCCCACACCTCGGTACGCAGCAGGCACATTGCGGGGCTTAGAACGGCACACAAAGTCACAACCATCCTGTAGGGGAAAAAAAGCAAAGAATAAAGTTTGAAATATTTCACATTAGGGTAGGACAAAGCATGTTTATGGTCTAATTGTCTGACAACTTTTTCTCGAGGGACAAGGAAGGGAAAATCTCTGAAATAGAAGAATTAGTTTGAATTCAATTTAGTAGGGTTTTTTAGTTTTTTTTTGTGTGTGTGTGTGTGGTACTGGGGATCAAACTCGGGTCCTTGCGCTTGCGAGGCAGGCTCCAGAACCACTGAGCTAAATCCTCAGCCCTGTTTGAATTCAATTTAGAGGAAATAAAGTTTCTCCTAATTAGGAAATGTGACTATTCACACTGCTATGTCAGCTGGATTGAAAATGCCTAGCCAATTTGAACCTGTTCTTGGGTGTTTTTAGATGGGTTGTGGTGATGTGGCCTTGGCTGCTACAGAAGGTCCCTTGTCTCTGGTATTGCTCCCTTGCTCTGCTCCCAAGGTGACAGGAACCGAGCAGCTTTGCTCTGTCAGACTCTTGGGCTGTGAGGTGTGTCTTGGGGCCAGATGACAGGACCAAATCACCCCAAACCATGAGCTCTATTAAGCCGTTCTTTTAAGCTGTTGGGTACTACATCCAGCCATGGGAAAACAGACTGACAGGCCACAGCTTCTCTCCTAGGCGGCCCCTGACAAGTAAATTGGGTCTGGGAGGCATGTAATAGAGTATTGATCTAACCACATCTTAGAAATTTCAGAAATGCCATCTTGTACCAGGGCAACCAACTATTACTGATTTGTTGGGACTTTTGTGACGTCAACACTCAATGTCCTTTGTCCCAGGAAATTTTTTTTTTTTTTTTTTTT